ACTTGTTGCGGCTGTGATCATGACTGATCTAGCTGGCCTTAGTGGTGTCCTGTAGGGTGCTTCTCCACACGAGATGATCCTTGACTGCAGGCCTGGACAGTTCGAGCCATCCTCTTCGCCAGTGCCAGGTCGCGCCAGGTTTCGAGCTGACCCCCACTTCATCGTTTCGAATTAGGTAACGGTTTCGGATCGAGGGCAGCAATACTGAGCTCGTCAGGTTGAGGGCGAAGAACGTGTACAAACCACCCCAGTCACCTTTCTTGGATTGCCTGGGATATCCTTGCGATGTTGTGGCAGCGAGTGCGGACTGTCTCATTTGAAACGAAATTGGTGTACTTCATTTGAAGGATGTTCCTCAAGCAGTAGTGGTCAAAGACTTCCAGTTTCCGTTCATCTTCCACGCGCATAGCCCAACATCCGCATAGAATAGCAGACCGTACTGATGCACGGTACTCGCGGAACTTTGTGGACATAGAAATATTGTGTCGGGTCCATAGGCTGGTGACCGCTCAACTTGAATAGAATTATAGTTAGCGTTTCGTGACTGTTAATACGTAGGGTATGCTTCGAAACTCTTGCTCCAGCTATGTATACCTGCGTTCAAGTAGAAATAGTATGTGTTAAAACCCTAATTAAGCATGTTTTTTTTTCTAAGCCGTACTTCCAAAGGCGGATTTATGTTTCAGGCATTTTGGCGTTTACTGTACATGGAAACATAGGAGTAGCCAGAACAGTTCGTCTTTTTTGGGTTGAGATAAACTCTAAAAGCACCGTGTTCTACTTGTGGCCAGGGGACAATTAACCAGTTCTGGTAGGCAACGTTCAATATTCTCCACTCGGACCTCGGGAGCCAAACTCCAAGCGGTCAGGAACACTACTTGGAAACGTCATAGTGTTCACTTCGTCCATATTTGTTCCCGGTATCGATCGACAATTCAGTGCGAGAAAGTCTTAAGCAATCCATCAGGCTGCGAGTAAGTTTCTTTATTCGTGTTGGTCGGCAGCTTATGTTGATGCGTGTATAGAAACCACGCAGATATTCTTAAAGTGACCCTTCAGTCTTACAAAAGCCAGCTGGTCGTTGAAAGGTTCCCACTCCAACGGTGCCCAGTTCGCTTGCCGCGAAAAGGTATTGCCAAACCGCATGGGTGAGGGGTACAAAAGGGTCATCAACAGGACTGCAGGCGTGACCTTCAAAGGTGGACATACTTTTTCCAAGTGGAAGTGGATGGTTACGGATTTGGAGCCTTCAATCGCAAAATATTCCTTAAAGTTATGGTAGTCAACGGTGAAATTATGTTCATATTGCACAGCTGTGTATTTGCCGATCGCCTACCTCTGTTTGCATTTAGCAAATTTCTGGGGAAGAAAACACACTTTTTAAAGGGTACATATCCGCTCCAAGAAAAGGACTGGTCAAAAATAGTTTCTTGCAAAAAATACATACTTTTTTGGTGGGTTCACGCTTTCGATTATTTACTATCAGATCTTTACGGTAATATACATTGCTCTCATTTCCTATATTATCGTCCTTTTTAGACAAATATTCAAACAGTTCTTGACGAACCGAGTTCTGAGTAATCCCAAGCAGCAA